CTAGGCCGCCTCCTTATGACATATCGAAACAGTTTTTTTTTCCGACAACCAGCAGAACTCCTTGTACGAGGGCACGCCATGTCGCAAGGGCTTTAACTATCTAGACATGAAAGCATAACACTTAAAGAGGAGAACAAAAATGCAGTTCTCTGTTCGAACCTACGACCCCAGTGTCTCAGTATTCAAACGGTCAAGACCCATCCTGTAGTCTATGCAACAACTGGGACCGTCTGTCTATACTTTATAGCTTTTAATTAAGTATAAGGGCTCTTTCTGAGAAACGGCATTCAGTCATCTAGTAACGAAATCCCCCGGCTTTTATGGAACCTAAATATTAACGACAAGACTTACCAGTGCATCCTATCCATTACATCAGTTCATTTTATTTAAGAAATCACGTTACACGTGCATGAGTTATGTTGAATGGGTAACTAACCCCTAAACACCAGCCAGCAGGTCCATGGAAGATCTGACAGAATATGCTTTATGGACTCAGTCAGTTGACATTACACTGTTACTTCGAGCAGAATTATAGTATCAAAATGAAAATTGTTTTGTAGGAGAGTAGCATTGTGTTATAAGCCACCAGATTTCATGCATCAAGGTCACAGAAAAATTGTTCGGAACAGTGGAATCCAGTCGATTGAAGATAGCTCTGAACTCGCAGTGTAACGAAAATAGCAACGCTGTACTGGTGACATAGGCCACGCAGTAAAGGGGATGAAGCCCTTCCGTGGCCATGAATCATGAAATTTGCTGACTACTGCTTTATTAGAAATAGATCTATGAGAGCTGTGAACAGCTTCGTGTTAGGAAGACGCAGTTTTTCTGTGTTAGAGCTCAGTTTAATAAAGACTCTTAACATTTTTTGCAATATTCTGATACTTTTGTAGAACCTTGTCATGGTATTCCAAGAAAGAGTAACAGTAATATATTAATAATCTTTATTGTTTTTGGATGTCGGTTGCTTTGTAATCTACTTTCATTAAAAATAACTTTCAAGACCACAGAAGTTGAGTGGGTAACGAATTATAATTCTTTAGTTTTCTTGATATATGAATCTAGACTTGCCTGTTGCAATCTTGTTTGTTAAAAAAGTGCCTGAACATTTTAAAAATAATGGAATACTTTTCTAAGAGTAAGATGTTAAGGGAAGGGGCTAGAAGGTGAAGTATCAACATTAGCTTCACCAGTTGTCTTGCCAACTGTAAATACCATGTGGACTACAAGTAAATGATTCAGTCTTCTCGTGCATAATATAGCACAGATTCTCTGGTGCTTCCTTGTTTCAAGTTTAAACACACAACTTCATTTCGACAACACTGCTCAATACCACACATGTAATATACCGTGGGTTCATACCAATTCGTGTTCCTTTACTTTCAGCTATATGTTACTGCAAGAGTAAACTAACTGTGTGTGCAGATCATTCGTTTGCCACGGAAATTTATCATAAAGTAAGAACTGAAGATGGCTGTCTTCGTAGTTGTTGCGCCCTGTAGTTTAGTGTAAGTTAACCGATATTTCAGGGAAGCTTACTGCCTCCATCCCCTGTAGTTTAGTGTAAGTTAACCGATGTTTCAGGGAAGCGTACTGCCTCCATTACCAGGGCTAGGAATCTGATTATGGAGGGCTTGCTGCTTAAGAAACAAGGATTAAATTACCACAGATACTAGATATTTAAGTGAGACAGAATCCTGATGGCCTCATAATACGAAGCTAGAACGTTGGTAAACGTCATGGCATAAGCTAAAGGATCTTTTGTGTTTAGTATTCCTCGAGTGTGTGCGTGGCTTAGAATAAAGCTCGACTAACCGCGAAAACTATCACATTTGTGAAATACTAGGTTCAGTTAGCTGGACGTGTGATTAGACAGTGTGTGCGTTGCGTTTCCCTTACGGGTGCTTTGCGGTTGATAAAATAAACCCTCGGGAATCTGCAGACAGCCGGATATTAAATCAAAACAAAAGCAACTCGAGTCATCCCTTGGTGGTTCGTATTGAAGGCGTTCTCTCTGTACCCAAGTTTTGCATCCGCGTCGTGTCGCCAGCCACAGTAATATTACTGTCTTTTCACTCTTTTTTTAGTTTTACCGCGTGATGTGGTTTATATAGCAGTAATGAGAATTTTTATGGACGTAGAACAAGTTCGTTAAATTTTCCGCATGAAACAATAGGCAGTTTGTTTTCTATTTGAATATCTCGTGGGCTAGTAATTAAATTGTATGGCTACTGACACCATTACTGGGTACTGTGGAAATGAGGTTAATCCTAGAATTTATTTCAATGTCTTGCCTGTATACAAATCTTCACTCTTAAAATGACAAACATTCTTTTCACATTAGTAGATATTAAATTCGGTATACTAATAATGATGTTTTCGTAGATTCAAGATAAGGAAAATGTAAAGAGAAAAATACGAGCGAGTGCAGTCATTCCACGTGTTACAAATTATAATATTTCTAATTTTAATGAGAAGAGACACGATTTATATTAAACATGTGTGTAATATATATCATTCTCAAAACATATAATATATAATCATACAGAAACACGAGTATATGTAAAACTGTTTTATAGGGCAGATATAACGTTTAACGTTTTGAAATTGAAACATTAACTCATGTTACTGAATACATTAAAAAGCGTGACCTACCAATTAAGAAAACATGAAAATAATTCTAGGACACTCGCCAACTACCCTTTGAAGCCCGAACCTCAACGAAATGAAACCGAAAAAGTTAATTACTACCCCTAAGAAAACACTGCACTTTACCATTACAAAAGTCAATTAGTTGAGGCTGTTAATGAATTCTGAGAATGTTAATAAACACGTAAATTAACTCTAAGGGCAAATTTCAGGGTTACCATATGTTAAAAGGAGGTGACGCATGTAGATTCTACTTATCACTTTGATTCAAGGGTCTAAAAATATCGAAACACACCGGCGTAGAACGTTAAGTCGTTTTTACGTTTGAGTTCGCTGGACTAAGCGTCTGAGGTTGGTATTCCTGTAGTTGTGGCGTGCAGTCAGTTGTTTTAAATGTGGTGTCTTGTCGTGTTCAAAATGCAATTTTAGTATTCTTAGGAATCTATAAAAATAATAACAGTGTTAAGAACAGTGACAATTAAATTGTAAAATCAGGAGAACGTTATTGAGTAGAATAAAACATTAGATGGAAATTTATTTATCTCGAAAAGGTGTGGGTAATAGTGAGTAATGCAACGACAATCAGCTTTTGTAATTCGCATTTGTACGTAGCTGATTTTTATTATATTTTGAGTATCAGGTCTGGTAATGTTATGATACGTGTAACATGGGTGCTCTTTTTAATAAAATTGTGTTGTCAGAAGGTGTGGGAACTGGCGAAGAATGGTGAATTATACTTTAGTGTGGTTAGAACTCCACGAACCAGGTTATTGTAGACGAGTGCACGTTCTGCGGGGCCGTCGACTGTGATATGGGTTGAGTTAACAAGAAGATATATCAGCATATCCGGGACAACCGAAGAATCAGCACTGGTAACACCGACTCTTAAACGAGTAGACGTCTCAATCGACGAATGACGCTGTGACATCTGGTTATGGTCTCCCTGAATTAATTTTTATCTTACAGAAGTAGCAAACTGTGACATCTGGTTATGGTCTCCCTGAAAATATTTTTTATCTTACAGAAGTAGCAAAAGTTGTGGACTGTTGGGCCAAATGCATTGGCGATTAAATAGAAGATAAGAGTTGTATAAGTTATATGTGTTATTTTAACACTTAAAATAAAGTTGTATGTAATTTTTTTATTTACCTTACTGTTAACGTAAATGAAAAGTTTAATCAAAGTACGTTCAGAATTTGGTCATTAAATTTATGGTTCGTATTGCTGGGAACAAGATTTTGTCTGATATTTTAATGTTAATAAGTCAGTCCCTCGTTATATTTACGAAGTAATTGCATTTGTATCAAATTAATAGACCTATATAACGTACGTGCTAAATAATGTTTGACAATCATAAGTCTGTCTCAACTAATCTCCCTTTTCCTCGCACAAAATTACGTAGTGATCACTTAAATAATACATAACAACGTTAATTAGCAGGGAATATTAAATTAATGCACCTCACCATTGTAAAAGACACCGAAGAGTAAGCCGCAGACAGTTTAAAATTCGCTTTAAAGAAACGCAAATAATATGAATTTAATTTAATTTAATTTTAAAAACGTTGTTCCATGTTAATTAAGTTTGCACTAATAATGTAACCTTATTCCTCGTAATAATTATATGTAATAAAGACTAAAATAACGTTAGTAATGTGAACCTATTCAATTTCTGCATTGTATACATTTCGGACTTACAATTTATTTTGCCTCATTTTCTGTTGACAAACCCAAAATTTGTACAATTTTGTATATCAGCTTTCCTCTAACACACGTCGAGAATTTTAGTCATTGTTTTGTATTGTGGTGAAACACAGTATTTTGCCGTAAAGCGATCACGAAGCATTTAATTATCAAACTCCAGGCAGCAGAGTTCTTCCACAGTTTTATGGAACCCATAAATTCACACCCGCTACTAAACAGTAATAAAATAGTTTAATTTAGAAAAATATCTGTGTTGCATTCGGTGGAGAGGTTACTGATATTGTCTTATAATGTTGTGTGGACTTGTAGGTGCATACCAACGTTTCTAGGAAACATATTTCTCCATTTCAACCTGAAGATGGAGGCAGTATATTTCTCCGAAACGTTGATATCTACCTGCAAGTCTAAATGGCATTAGAATCCAGACGTAACCAGTTCACACGCTGAAATCGTATTTATAAGATATCAAACTTAATAGTAGTGTTCAATCTATAACTTGGTTTTCCAACTAAATTTTGTATGATTTGTGAAGAGCTAATTATGAAGCTCTGCATGATGCAGTCTTTTATTATGATAATGACAAGAGATTGAAAATACTAGAAGAAACGAATAACTCACACTTGTATGATTTCATTGAAATGATGAATGCATGTGTCATAAAAAAATTATTGTCCTTCGTGACATATTTTAAGTTCTTATAATCCGTTTATTCATTAATATCGAATGCTAGTTTCCGATCATTTAATACAATGGCTTATAAACGCATCAGATTCTTTCCGGAGGCTGTATTTTACTGAAAGTTACATTTTTGTTTAAAACAGAGACAAGAGAATGAGTGAGAGAGAGTACGAAAAGTTGCAGATGTGTATAATGGAAAGGTTTTAATTAATAAAACGTTGACAATGTCGTTTCCATGGGCGCAAATTTGTTTCCAATTTGTGGATAATGCGTGCACATCATTTGTTCTTCCCCCCCTTTGCCCCCGCCTGTGTCTCCAACCATTATCATCTGCAACAGATACCAATTCTGGGGATTTTTTAAAACTGTTTTAATTACTAGTCGGCTTATGAATTCTCTTTCACAAATAAAGTCTCTTCATGTTTTGTCAGTTCATTAATTTCCTCCTAAAGGGTTTAAGCGAATTCTTTCATCATTTACGTAAAATTAATTAATATCTTCTTATATGCAGTTACATAATTTAGACTTGCAGGCATCTAATAAATTTATCCTTCTCTTAGATAATTACAAGTTTTTCAGGCATATAAGGCGACAACTGGATACTCCAGACACTATGACAAGCGTAATCTTAACCTGCTCACTAGATGGAGGGAAGTAATCTGCTTCACGCTCCACCCGCTTTGTCTCCTGTAAGATTTTCCGATACCCATTCACAAGGAAGCTGGGTGGCCTCCAGAGCATCTGCTTCACGCTCCACCCGCTTTGTCCCCTGCAAGATTTTCCGGTACCCATTTACGAGGAAGCTGGGTGGCCTCCAGAGTTGTTGGAAGTGGTACCAGGACTACATAATCTTTGGATTATAATCTAGAATTTGCCAAGGACTTGTAGACCACAGTTTAGTTCCCGGATGTGACATGGTTTTTCCTGTCTTTATCAACGGTTCTAGAGTCTTCCAGTAGTATTTCCAAAAATAATCGGAAAATCCTTCACTTTGAGGACGCGAAACGAACGGAACGTGAAGTGACTTACTTAACCATTTTGCATGGCTGGTGTTTGGAATCCGTTGGATTTGCCTTCAATGCCTTCACGGTGTGATAAATGGGCACCCGGGAAACTTTAGTACAAGTTATAGGATTTAATGTTTTGTTTTGATGTTTATATCAAAGCAAGCACCTGAGTTTGAAACTTCTAGACTTCCTAAAGTCCTTCCGTTAGATTAACCATACCAATAAATGTACCAGTGTCAGCAAATCTCGCTGAGCGGAAGTAAGGTATTTAAAAAAAATGTAGAATTTTAGCGAGGATCAATATGGGATGGGAAAGTAGAATGAATGAAATTTTGGAAGGTGAGTGTAAGAAAAAGGAATATTATTAAGGAAGTAAACCCATACAAAGAGAGGTGGTGTGGACGAGAAAATTAAACGAGAAAGGAGGAAAAAGTGTAGGGGAAGAGAAAGATATGAGGGAGGATATACAATAAGAAATAATTAGAAGAGAGAAAAGAGCGTGGCTTCAGTGAGAAGCAACGAAAAAGAATAATTACTTAAGAATGATAAGGAAAGATGTTCAAAATGTAGAACGATAAATTCAAGGCAGATGTGAAAGAAAGTCAGATGAAAGAGTAAAACACAAGACGTGGAAGTGAATGTGATTTGTATAAAAATAATGCGGAAGAGGATACAGTGATATAACCAAAGTTGGCAAGATGGTAACTAGCGAAGACGTTAGAGAATATTAGGTAAAGGAAATACGGAAATTTGTCTATGTGAGATGTGTGAATGAAGGAAAGTGTGGGGATTCAAAGTGAATGGAGTAGGAATTTAAACTAAGAATAAATATCAGGACTAAAAATAAAGTAAGAAATAGTTTAGTAGTTAACCGAATGAGGAAAAAAAGTGGAATAAGGCGAGGAAACAAATATTAAGGACTAAAATTAAGAACTTGGTATAGAAAAACTGAGGAAGAAGTTATGGAAGCAAACTTTATTATGTACTTTGTAATAAGATGCAGAGTAGGGAATATGTGTTAAGAAGGATTGGGGGAATGTGTGTACGTGTGAGGAGCGTATGTAGGTCAAAAGGAGAAAAGGTAATTAACAGTTACGAGGACGTACACGCTCACAGATTCCTTTGCTTTTGTACGCCACGGACAGATGCTTATAATCCATTCGCACCTTGGCGTTAATTCCCATTAGTTTACAGGTAATTCATGTATCATGTTCCCCCGAGTTTCTAATAATTGTTCAGCTTCAAAAGCAAAATTAATCTTTCTCCACAAACCGAAATGGAGTCCGAGCGAGTGCGAACGGCTGGTGTGTGTGTGTGTGTGTGTGAGAGAGAGACACTGGTCCTGATGGAGCCTGTCAGAACAAGCTGTTTCGCCATCTCTTTAGTTCACCGCCAACAATATGGACACCTGTAGGAAGCAGTACCCAAACTTCCTCTTGTTCGGGCTATGCTATTCAGAAACTCAGCATGTGTCCACAATAACATTAATGAGTTGCTATGGGTTAAATTGTGGAATTAGTATTGAAACTAGAAACCTTAAATAATTATTCCTAAAGACTTATCACTTTAAGAAATAAAAAAAGGCGACTATTTGAAGCAAATGGCGAAGAACACTTTCGTCAAATTAATCGTTTTTAGCAGCGGCAGAACACATTTCATTGCATTCACGCTTTTTTGTCGCTGCTGAGTTCAGTGTATTTTTTAACTTCGGTTTTATGGTATAGGCCGCGTCAAATGTTTATAGTTGTCCCATTCCTGGTTCCCAAGTATTGTATGTGCTTTTCAACGGGTTTCCGCTCAAAAATTCTTTCTACATCCGACTTACTTCCTCATTCTTGCCTCCTGCGTTTCACATTCCTCGCAATACTGAATTTGCACTGCGATTTAAAAGTCCCTGGACTCATTTGCGTCTGACGTAGGAAGCCCCAGCTCGGACGTTAGACTGTAGGACCACTGTGAACTCTTTATATGAACCCCAACCATCTGGTGCCAAAAGACAGATGATTCACTCGCAAGCAGAGCAGCGGACACCGCGCTTGGCTAACACGTAACTTGTCGACCAATGCTGTTTCGAAGCGGTTAGCGGTGTTGTGAGGGAACTTGAAATCACGGACAGACAACATATTTCCTGAAATATCCTACTTGATGAAATTACGTCATCCTTTTTGGGAAGAAATATTTTTGTCAAAGATTTGTTTTCGACCATTTAAAATCCGTCTCTCAAAGTGGGAGAAAATATTTACATCTATACAAAACAAGTGATAAATCGGTGATCGGTGGTATTGTTAAACATTAGGCTGGGTTACAAATTTCATATCGCTTATAAACTAATGCGCATGGATATAGTGTATTTTAATTTGTCTTGAACCATTGTGGGCTTACTCAAAATAAAATTGTGTTTAACAAACTTGTGGCTACCATTTCACAGAAGTTTCTGTCCTGTACAAATTAGTGATCCACAATCCTGTCACACTGTCCTGTTTCCTGAAATTGCTACAAACAATGTTTAATAATTACTTGTGGTAAATGTGGGATTTGCGGTGAATATAGCTGAATTGTGGTTTCAATTGCAATGCCGCACATTTCATTACTTAGCGGTATTGGTCTTTTGAAAAACAATTTCGTGCAATGCCGCACATTTCATTACTTAGCAGTATTGGTCTTTTGAAAAACAATTTCACTGACCTACTTCGCAGGTCTCCACCAGAAGCGAAAGAATTCCAATGCAGCGTTAGTTACAGGTAGGCATGTTCTTTGTGTTCGCTGCGGTGATGCAGAGAAAAGCAAGTGACAAGCGACGAAACAGATGCCCGTCGTAGAAACCCTTGCCAGTCCTTGATTCAACTGCCAGGACTCCTGAACCCCAAAGAAGCGAATAACGGTCGACTGTCGCAGGAAAGGTTCTGCAGTGAGATGAAGTAGTTTACGTGTAGTGCAGGGGTGGGAAAAATACACGCCTTGGCTTTAGAAGTACAGATGCGTTAATGATTGTCCACGTTATTTGAATGCCCAGAGGCATTTGGAGTGGGAATAAAATTTGCATGGACACACGTCAAACGCTGTGTATCGTTAAAATAACATTGATAAGATGTCAGGCTGTGGCTGGGGCCACAGTAGGAAATTCACACTTTACTGTGGCTCTCAGATTGGGTTGGGGGTGTCGGGGGCTGTTGAAGTTCTGTTGTACAGCCACATTAAAACGCTCTTGACTGGCGGCCAGAACTACGTTGAGAATTTTTTTTGCATGTCTGCAGAAACTGAAATTTTTGTTGTGAGTGTTGAAGCGACAGGGGCTTGCCCGGTGGATTGTAGCTGGTTAAACCTTGTCAAAATTTTTATAAGTGTTAAAATTTAATACACGACTAATTATTATTCTGGTAGCACAACCCAAAATTTCAACTTCTTTAATTCCAAAGCCGATAATTGGACATGGGTCTTTGTCAGAAACATCTTCTCACCCCCCCCCACAACCCACTTGATACAGTAATTTTATTCTCCTAATTCATTTTAGGTTTTACAAGTGGACTTTTGTGAACGATTTCTTGCAAAATTCTGCAAACTCTCTTCTCTGGCCCATCGTAGCTATATTTACAGATATTTTCGTCTTAGACTTCACTGTCAGAATAGTGTTATATTAACACAAAAATTTATGAATTCTGTTGCTCAGTTCACACGAAGAAAACTTGCTTTGACTACATAATTTTACAACAAGTATAGATTTAGTTCAGTAGCCATGTCGTTAGTTTACATACTATATTATAATTATTATCGAAAATTACACATATTTTGCATATGTACCGTATGTGGCCGATTTTAAAACGCGATCCACTGTAAAAAAATCCAAGATTTAATAATAGGTTTTCAAGAAAAAATACTTTATCGATTCTTAGACTCCACTAAATGTTATACGCACCCCAATTTCGGAAATTTTAAAATTCAGAAATAATGCATCTAAAAATCGAAATACCTTTCATCACCATACACTATTCAATATCACTTTGTCGTTCCTATCTCAAAATTTAAAGCATAGAATTATTTTAATAATACTGGCGAATTAAAATTTAAAGGCACCGTGGCTCCCAGCAGCAAGACATATCAATTTTCACGAATCAGTAAGTTGAATGGTAGTGGGAGAGGCGAAGGCATTGACATGATAAGTGGAGCCTGCGCTGCACTGTAAAGAGAAGGAAGTACGATAAAATTTTGAAAATACAGTACATAGAATAAATTACAAAATACGTGCATCAGACAGACTCTGCCATTAGGTACTTTCATTTTAGTAGTGGAAATTACTTGGAACAAATCAAATCGCCTGAAGACTGGGCTTAATCTAGCCCCTTCAGTGCCTTGTGCGTTACGTCAGACAATGCATATAATGACTTATGAATGGATTCGTAGTGTAATTACCCATATAGAATTAAAACCACCATAAAGTTAGACGAATTGTTCATTTTGGGCTTATCTTACTTCAGTATTTTGGAAGACAAAAGTTAAATTGTTGCACTTTGTCTCTAGTGCATCTGAATTGCACAAAATTTCTCTTAGAAGCAAGTCATGAAGGAGATTACAAGAGACAGGTTGATATCAAATGTGATGTTTTCTTTAGAGTACGAGTTGATATTCTTAAATGTCATTATATTATTGTCTTTGGCTTAGAAAAGGGTTGAAGGAGTGTATGAGATACACATCTTGGAAGCTGGGAGTGAGTGAACGTCTTTAGTTGCTGTGTGTCACGCTTTTCCATCTCGGCGCTGTATTCAGAGACCCATAATACGTGTCCCACTG